AGGTGCACTTGAAAACATTTGTGCAGTTTTATTTTCAGAAAGTGATTGTTGTTCTGCCCTGTTTATAGTAGAGAAAGTGACATTTAATAGTAATAACAAAACTTAGGAATAAATAGGTTGTCAATTTATAATTAACCACTGTTGTGTGATTGTGTTCTGACAAATAAAGCTTGCCTGGACATCAGAGGGTGGAGCTAGCCACTAGTTAACCATGGAAGCTGGATGTTGATGGCTCTTCATGCCTATAATCCCAGCACTCGGGAGGTGGAGACAGGAAGTGATACGGTGGGGTGGAGACAGGAACTCGGCTCGTTTGGGTGAAGGGTGGAGACAGGAAGCAACTGGTGGCTGCTACTGGTTTTCCGATCTTCTTGGTTTTCACCCCGATATCTGACTTCTGATTTTCTATTGATTAAGATTAATTAGATTGATTCTTCAAACTACTCTGTAACATATATTATAACTTCAGTAGATAATAATCTATCACAAAATGCTACTATGAAGAAAATGAGCCAGTGACATGGCTCAGCAGATAGACACTTGCCATGTAAACCGGACATTCTAAAAAGAAAGGAAAGGAAAGGAGAAGAGGAAGAGATAAAGAGGCAGAGATGGTGGAGGAAGAGGACTGCAGACAAGCCCAAATAAAGAATATCTGTTCTCACCAGTTTTTTGTTTCAATACTAATTCATATCAGGTGATTGATGTAATGATTTATTAATTCTAAGAAAAGAACTGAAGTTTCAGAGGATTTGTATGACGGAGTTACCTTATCAAACCCTTCAGCAGTTTGGACAGTTACCTCTGCATAGATTTTTGTTATCGACCCTGACAGAACACACAACAGGGAGTCTGTAAATTCTCCACTTGAACTCCTTGAGCTGGAATGGGAGCTCATACACGAAATGGTTTTATTCTGATGTCTAAATTAGTCCCTGGTGCTTTTGCCTTTGTTCTCTTATACCATGTTTATAACCTAATTACAATCATTTGCCTAATTTTTTTTGAGACGAGATTCTTGTTATGATCCCAAGATGCCCTTAAACTGCTATATAGCCCAGGCTGTCCTCAGACTTCCAACCTCCCTGTATTCCAGCCTTAGCCTCCTAAGAGCAGAGGTTATAAGCATAGTTTAAGGTGGAAATCTAAAGGAAATGGCAAGTACCCACGAAGAAAGCATGACTGTTGAATGGTGTGTGGGTTTTTTAATGGAAAAGAACACTGAAATATGCTTTAAGTTGTTTCTTTACATACCAAAATTTCTGCTTTTTTCTAACTTCTCATCTAGCTGCTTGAAACTCTGTCCCAGCAGCTCCTCCTGTGGAATGTTAAAGTCCCCAAATAGAACAGCGTTGGCCACTAGAAATGGTTATATCAGATTCACTTTCTCATAATAATAACATTCTTGGAGTACCGTCATCACAGAGCTAAAACATGGGATATGACATGATAAACTTATGAAATCTACTTTTTAAATAGTATTTTGCAAACATTCTTTGAATGATTTTGAAAACATTTGCTTTAAATTCCTTCCTTTTAGTTTTCAGGAAGTGGAAGTTAAAGAGTTATCCTAGCCACAACCCGTAAGTTCCCTTCGCGTAAGCCATTATAATTACTTAAAAATATATTTTGTGGTTTGACTACATTACCTCAAGAATCTAGTACTTAAATGTCATGAATATGTCTTAGAAATTGCCAGTAGTGCCTTTTGTGGTCATGGTTGCTCTAGATTTACTACATGGCACTTTAAAATCACTTTGGAAACATTTGTGGCATTTCTGTTTATTTTTTAAAAGAGCAAAATCATGACATCCCCCTCCACTTTATAATTCAGTTTCTCCATGGTTACTTCCATTCTTCTGCCAAAATTGTTGCTATTACCTCTCCAGACTTAATTTACTGACTGCCTTTGAGTTGTCTGTTTCTCTCTGGAATCCAACCATCAGTTATGTTCAAGTGGTCATTCTCCTTTTAAAGGGCCACACACAGTTAAAAAAGAAACAAAAAAATTTTGCGGGTGTTTTGGTTGAGGTAATTTTTTTATCCGCAGAACCATGTTACCTGTTCTCAGCTGTTTTATGCTTTCTGCCTTCTGCTCATTTATGTCTATATTCTATCTACCCAGTAGTAATTGAGTCTAATAGCAAATGATCTACATGATCATATTATGTTAAAATACATAATGCCTAAAATTATTCATATACATTAGATGCTTATAAACACACACAAACAGCAGTTGTATAAGGCAAAAGTTAAATATATTTTCCCATAATAATGGTTGTAAATGATGTTCACTTTGCTGGTGAATGAATACATTTCTTCATTTCAAAGTGATAAGTAATAATGGATTTTTTAAAATGATTATGTATTTAGTTTTTATTTTAAAATGATTGCATTATGTTTTTTTTTAGTTTTTACTTAATATGTGCAGACATACATGCAGAGGCACAGGTGTGAGGTCAGAAGATAACTATGGGGAGTCGGTACACTCTCTGCTATGTATCTGAAATTGAGCCCAGGTCCTCAGGTTTGGTAGCAAGGACCTTTGCCTGCTGAGCTATCTCAGATGCTCAGTAATGGGTGTTTTAGATTTAATTTTCCTGCCTCACTTCCCACCCCATGCCCACCCCAGGATGGCAGTGCATTATTTCATCCTCATGACTTTCTAGTTTCCACTGCTGTGCTGAAGACAGGTAGAGCAGGTCTGTGGGATGGCTAGCCCTCTTCTGATGTGTTGGGAACCTAGCATCCAGGATAGTGAGACAGCACTTAGGCTTCCTGGTAGTACCCAGTCTATATGTTCAAAGTGACGGCCAGCATCCAGAAATTATAAGGACTGACTCTAAGTCAAGGTGTCAAGAAGTGACCCTGTGCAGGAGTGGGCTACCCAGGACTCAGTGGATGGCCCACACCTATTTACATATGGTCAGCACTAATTGCACCTGAGGATAATAATTATGAAAATAATGACAGTAATAGTAAAAACAGTAAAGAATGCATGAAGTCAGAATGGAGACAGGTTGGTGGGTTCCAGAGACTACAGAGTAAAGGTACTGAGTCGGGTGAGGAGTGGGTTCGGGGGGGAAAGGCATAGATGATATCAAAATACAGTTTCTATGTGGATGAAAATTTCAATGCGTAAATAAAAAGTGTTTTAAAAAGAATTGACCGTGAAGTTTAGAATCCCAGATTCTCAGTTCAATTCAAGTGAGTACTGTGGAGCCGGACAAAGGCCAGTATGAAGGGCTGAGGTAGCAGTGTTAGGACCTATATAGAGGGGATTGTGACACCATACTTCAGACCACAGATTGCTAGGAGAAAGAGTAAGGAGGAACTGTCAGCCCTCATAGTGAAAATACTCATCCCTTGGTCTTCAGTTTCCATCTTAATTATTTAGTTGGTGATCAAACCTCATGACATTTGGTACCACCTGTTACACCAACAATTCCCAGAAACTTATGTCCAGCCCTGACTTTACCCCACACTCCAAATCCAGCTGCCTACTTGAAGTGTCCACTTGAATACATTAGAAAGTCTTTAATAAGTCCTAAAGAAGAGTTCTCATTTTGCCGCTGCCTTCCAGCTCTCATGTCTGGCCTATTATCCATAGTTTACTCTATTCAGGCTGATGCGACACCATCTTCCAATCCCTCAAATCAAAACTGCCATCTAGATTCTGCTCCTGCTCTTACTCTGTCTAAGCTTCCAGAAGTTCTGTTACCACTACCTCTGGGGCCTTATAACGTGCTGCTGCAGCTATCACTATGTCTGGGGCCTTACAGCATGCTGCTGCAGCCTGGCTGCACAGTTCTATCTCCTTGCATAGATATTAATGCATTGGCTTCAATCACCCAATGTTTTCTTCTGAATGGATAATCTGAAAAGAATTAATTTTTTGACTGTTTTGTTGTGTCGCCTACATCTCAAGATTCCGAGTAACACATTTGCCTTGTGGTTGAATAATTTTCCAGCTGATTTGTGTACTGGTTGCTCATACCAAGAGAAGGCTTTTAACAGAAAATAACGTGTACAGTGGCTGAAGTTTTTAAATTATATCTTATCTGTTTATGTGTTTATGTGTATACGTAGTGCTTTCATGTGCCATAGCCCATGTGTGGAGGTCAGAGGACAGTTTGCAGTAGTTGGTCCTCTCCTTCCACCACATGGAATCCTGGGATTGACCTCGATTTGTGAGTCTTGACAGCAAGCTCCTTTCCTCACTAAGCCACCTAATGGGCCTAAATTTTTATTTATTTGTGTAAATGTGAAAGACACCAGCATATGCACGATTTCCCTGTTGTTATGGTCCTGTGAAATGCTGAAACATGAGAAGCTGAGTTTGGACTCCTAGCAGTCATGTGAAAACAAGTATAGCAACATGCACTTGGAATCCCAGCATTGGGTAGGCAGAGGTAGGAGATGCCTGGGGTGTACTAGCCAGTCAATGAGCTCAAAGTTCAGTGAGAGATGCTGTTCAAAAAATAGGGTAGGAGAGCCATAGAGGAAGATGCTCAGCCTCAGCTTCTCCCCTCCCCCACACCCTAAACACTTACCTAAACCAAGTGCTCTTAATCTTCCAATGTGACATCTGAAAATAAGCTATGGGAAGGCCAGTGAACTCTAGAGTTTATACGTAAAGTTTTGTTTATAAACTTTGTCTTGAAATTAGAGTTTTCACTGGGTACTCAGATGAATCAAAAATGGGTAAGTAATGGCCCTTTCTCATTTCTGTGTATGAGTCTAAAACAGTTGAGCCAGGTTTAACTTTGATGACCAAATATTAAGTGATGAGGCCAAATAAAGGCATTATCGTGAACAGCAATAGTAGCTACGTTTAGGTGACTCCTGCTCTGATGCCATATTAACTCTGTGGTGAAACTGCATGTTGATGTCTATGCAGTTGAACTGGGATATTTGCTGAGGTGGTTACAGAGTCTTCCAATTGTAGTTTTAAACACTTACCATTTCTTTTCTTCTTATTTGGTGCTTACACAAACCAGTGAGCATTGCTGACCCTGCTGCCCTTGGCTTCATCATCTCTCCATGGTCGCTGCTGTTGATGCCATCTGGCAGTGTGTCCTTTACAGATGAAAACATTTCCAATCAGGACCTTCGAGCATTCACTGCACCAGAAGTGCTTCAAAGCCACTCACTAACTTCCCTCTCAGATGTTGAAAAGGTAAATATTAAGTCTTCATTTTGTTGTTGTTGTTTATTTTGGTAGAAGTAGGGCAGGTCAAAACAATGGACTGCCCTTACTCAGTCCATGGAAAAATCCTTTGAATTTAAAATAATCATATGTTTAAGATTTATATATAAATAATTCAGAATTTTAGAGAGAGAGAGAGATAAAAAGATAAACTCAGGACAAGATATTGACCAGAAAAAAATATTTTTTTGGAGAAAAATATTTTAAAAAGTGAATCGTAAATAAATTCTGATGGCTGACGCATGCACTGTGACATAGTCTGACCAGAGATAAGGTGGACACAGTAAGCCCCTGAAGGCCAGGTGAGGATGTATAGTTCATGCAAGGAAATCAGAGAAGCCATGTAATTTTAAGCAGGAAGGGACAAAATGACACATGTTTTCAAAATGCTGATCCAAGGTGACGGAGTGGATCGGCCAGGAACAAGACTGGAGATGTGGACCCTGAAGTGCAGATGTACTGAACTGAAGCAGACATAGTGGAAACCATGCGTGTAGACAGATATAAAGCACTATGTTAACTATAATAGGGTTTTGAAAAAATCAGAGGTGAATGAAAATTTTCCAATGAAAATATAGATTTTTCTTTTCCTTGTAAATGAGAGAAGTGGTCTGTTCATTTGTGGGAAGTACATAAGGATAGAGAAGGTCTTGGTGCGTCCTTGTTGTCTTGGTCTATCAGTGACGGCTCCCACTTAGGCCACCGCTGCTCTCAGTCCACCGGCATCACCTGATTGACACTGGACCCGAAGCCGCTAGTAACACTGCATCCCCCGGGTGCCCTCATGCACTTACAGTTTGGGCCTTGTTTTCTCAGTGGAATGTTACAAAAAAGAGTGCTATTTGTCCCACTTGATACCATGTTCCCCGTGTTCTGTACCAGTGATTTCTCTCCTGTGACACACATGCATCACTAGCAACATCACCATTACCTGGGAATTTGCTGCTAGAGAAATTGTCACCTGTAATCTTAGCCTTGAGGCTGAGGCAGGAGAATTGCTCTAAGTTTGAGGCCACCCTAGGCAACCTAGTGAGTTTCAGGCTAGCCTGAACATGTTTCTCTTACTCAGACCAACAGAAGGTTGACTCCAGTGGGCATGCTAAAGTAGATGGAGTAGGCCTCAACCCTGCACAAAGAACTGCGGCCACTAAGTAAAGCAGGGAGCAGGAGAGGTGGTATTCCCCAGGGAAGAACACACCAATTGACTGTCCAGTGCCAACTGAAAACGTACAAGTAACATGATATGGACCAGCAGGCTCTGTTTAGGAATACAGATGTAATAATTGTGACAACAGAGGCTATGAATTAAAAGGAAATGGGTGAGGAATGTATGCCAGACTTTGGAGGGGAAAAAAAGGAAGGAAGTTTTATTAAAACTTCAAAAATTTAAAAAAGTTAAAATTATGAAAAAGAAAAAGAAGCTACTTGACGCATTAAAAAGTACAGACAGTGCAGTGGTGACACATGCCTATAACCCTAAAACCCAGGAGGCAGAGGCAGGCAGATCTCTGTGAGTTCAAGACCAGCCTTGTCTACAGAATGAGTTCCAGGACAGCTGAGGCTACACAGAGAAACTCTTGTCTCGAGCCCCCCTCCCCCCAAAAAAGTGAATACAGTAATCTTAAAGCACTAGCACATCTAAAAGAATCACAAATGAAAACAAATTAATCTTTTATACTTTATGTGAAGCTTTTGAAAAGACCCTGTGCATAGCCTCTTGAAATGCGGCTGAAGAGATATGACATGAACAGATTGTGTGGTGTTGTCTGGACTCTCATCCTCATTGCATTGAACTCAGCAGACATACAGTCAATACCTTCTGCTAGTTGTTGAGAAGTGCACTCAGAGATGTAAGGCAGGCTGTCAGTGCCACAAGGAAATATTAACTAACTGCTTCACTTGAGATACAAATGAAATTACCTGTGTCATCTCTGAGACAGTGTGTCAGCCTGTGTCAAAGAGTTTATATGATATATATAATTTAAAAAATCATCTCTGACTTAACCACTAGTGGACGTTTTTATTGACAAAGAAAAAAAAGTCAGTGAAATAAATAGTGCCTAAGGAAAGTTTGGTCTCTGTCTGTCTGTCTCTGTCTCTCTGTCGCGTGCGCGCGCACGCACGCACGCACACACACACACACACACACACACACACACGAGTGGAAAAGAGAATGAAAAGAAAATGCCAGTCCAGGTGCTGAAATAGTTCCAGTGGACATAGTCCCAGCAGAAAGGAAGCCTAGAAGTTTGACTGTAGAATTGAGCTGGAAGCTAGTCAGAGGGAATGTGAAAGTCATTAAGGAGAATTTAGAATTAAAAAAAAAAGTTGGAAGTATTGAAAATGGAGCAGGTTTTCTAATCTATAAACTGGGAACAAATTTAGGTGACAATATAAGAAATAGATTAAAGTGTTGTGACATTGTAAGAATAATGTCAATATTTTATTTGCACATAGATTGTTTTTCCACCATTTTCTAAAAAGAGAACTGGAAACAGGTTACAGAATTTAAAAACAAAGTTTAAAAAACAGGAACCAACTAAATACAGGCAATAAAATAAGAAAAAGCTGACGTAAAGCCACCCCCCAAAAAAAATCCCCTAGAAATTAAAACCCTCATATGATGTTAGGCAGGACTCTCTGGAGAACAGAGCCCATAAGATGTGTATCTATCAGAAAGGGGGGCTTACTTACTAGATTGCTCTACACACAGTAGAGGCTGGGAACCCAGCCAGGGGCATCTGTACACTGGAGATGCGGAGAACCTGGTGGTTGCTCAGTCCACAGATCTGGTTCCCTCAGCGACCTCAGCCCAGGGTTAATTTTCTGGGATAGTCGGTGGTATGTAGAGTGTGTTGGAAGGCTGAAGAATCTAGAGCACTGGTTCTCAACCTGTGGGTCTTCACCACTTTGGGGGTCTCATCAGATTTCCTGCATATCAGATATTTACAATATGAATCATAACAGTCTCAAAATTACAGTTATGAACTAGCAGCAAAAACAATCTTCTAGTTGGAGGTCACCACAACGTGAGCAACTGTATTAAAGCATTTGTTGCAGCATTGAGAAGGTTGAGATCCACTGCCACAGAGTCTGGGGCAGCAAGGGCAGCAGCAGCAGAATATGCAGGCACACTTTTCTTAGGATCCCTTACTAGTACATGGATGCTATATCTTCTGCCTCCTTCAGACGACCACACATGCCCATCAGTAAGGTTCCCAACACCACCACCACCCCTTGTTCCCCTCTCCAGCCTTTCCCATGAAACATCCTGTCAGCATCACGATTGGTTATTTTTGAGCAAATGACAAAAAAGTCCTTTGCTTCCTCTTCTTCTTCCTCTCCCACCCAAAGTATGCTAATAAAAACTCCAGTTAGACTCCCCCTCACTTTTCAGCGGGCAAAACTCTAATGTGGAAACTCCTCTATGTTGCTAGTTGAAATGAAAATGATAAAATTTCTGTATGGGGAAATATGATTCTCTCACTCTGTGTTTGTGTGCACCAGTGTTCATGTGTGTGCATTGAGGGTTGTATTCAGGTACAACTTTCACATAATTTTATAACCAATTCAAGAGAAATACCTGCATTCAAAAAATAATGTTTCCTGAAACATGTAACATAAAGTTTGGGAAACTCTTAGTAAATAATACTACTATAGACACAGTAAAAAGGGATAAGCTCTCCAACAGTTAACACAGACACATTTATACTGGTAAATTAAAAATGCAAAGCTTGCTGGGCAAGGCGGTGCACACCTGTAATCCCAGACTGGGGAGGCAGAAGTAGGCAGAGTTCAAGAACTGCCTGGTCTACAGATCAAGTTCCAGGACAGCCAGAACTACACAGAGAAGCCCTGTCTCTGGTGGGAATGGGGTGGGGTTAGGGGGAAGCAAGGCATAGAGTACATTTTAAGTGTTATGTAAAAGTATTAGGAATATATGTTCAAATTTGCTTAAGTTTGCATGAAGACACTAAGTAAAAACTAACAAAATGACTACTCCTTGAAAGTAGACTCTGTTTGGATGGGATTGTATGTCTAATCTAATCAGTGCCACTCTGATTTTTAATTTTAAACTCTTCTATGCTTTTATGTAAGATGGAAAATTTTGTATGTTATATTTCCTTTGTAGCAAAGAAAGCATAGTAATTGCTAATTTTTTTATTTTACCTTGAAGTGATTTTTGTACAAAATTCTATTCCTAGATCCATATTTATTCTCTTGGAATGACATTGTATTGGGGGGCTGATCATGAAGTGCCTCAGAGCCAGGTAAGTGAAGCATCACATTTGTGATCTCGTATTAATAAGTTTACACTTTTTACAGGGCCCTTTGTTGTGATTATGTGTTGTTTGCAGAGAGCTCACATCTGTACAGTCAGAGTGTCAGAATGAACTAACAATGAGTGCTAGTGAACATACTTTGAATCATGGCAATCACTGCCTAGATTTCAGCAACCCAGCTTGTGAGATGGGGCTGGGCTCTTCCAGAAGTATAAGTCGACGAATAGGAGAATGCTTTTATTTCTTACTAGCTACTGATTTAGGAGCAGTATTTAAATGTCCGATGTGTCAATCTTGCACTAACAGGAGTGAGGGTAGCAATGCTGTCCCATTCTGTCTATGGTGGCAGAGGTGGCACCTCTGTCCCAGTCAGTCTGTCACTGGGAAATAGCCAGCCCCCACTCCCCCTCATCCCTGACTCAGCTGGTGTCAGGGAGATGGCGCCTCTGTCCCAGGTGGCCTGTGGTAGGGAAGGCAGTATCAATGATATAAAATAATATAAAGTCATACTTTATGATCATAAATCACTACCATTTTAGAAATGCTTAACATTAATTTGCAAATATTTAATATGTATATCTTGTATCAGACAAAACACTAGACTTCAGGCCTGCTGTTGGCCACACATGTGGAATCAACTGGAGGATAAAAACAACTAAATAGGTAATTACAACATGATGTAATGAATGCTCTGTTAGGAAACAGAACATGGCGGGTCTTCTGGTTAGACCTCAGATTTAGCATAGGTTTTTAAAGGAGATGGCATCTTAGCTGAGATGTCAGTGTTACCCAGAAGCCTTGGTTAGAGCTAGGCATGCATGGCAGTGGCTGGCCAGTATGTACTTTATTAGAGTTTGTTAATTGCTTATTTGGGGGTACCGGAGATTGAACCTAGGACCTCACACGTTCCAGGCAAGTATTTTACAGTGAGCCGCATCCCCAGCCCAGCAGTGCATTTTCATATTTGTTATTTCTTGATTAATAATAAAGACAGCCATTTTTATAAGCTTATTAGCAATTTGTATGTATAAACTTAAAAATTCATTTTAATTAACAAAAATAATTTCACATTCTGATTTCTGTTTTATAAGATTAATGAGACTCCCACTTCACTTAGCTGCTCTTGAGTCATTTCAATATCTGGACTTCTACCTTATCATAAAATATCAAATTACATAGAAAAAATATATCTTATTGAACACTGGCTATTGAAACACTGCCCCTGTTTCTCAGTGTTTTTAAGTATTGAAGAATTCCCCTTCTGCCAGACATGGTGGAACATACCTTTAATCCTAGCACTTGAGAGGTGAGGCTGGAGTCTCTGTGAGTTCAAGACCAGCCTGGTCTATACAGAAAGTTCTAAGTCAGCCAGGACTGTGCAGTAAGACCCTGTCAAACAAAATCAGAAACAGAACCCACCTCTTCTTTATCACAAAATCAGCAGATTTTTTTAAAATCACATTTTATATCTAGGAAGACATGTTAACCTCCTTATGTTAATATAGGTTTTTGGGTCACACAGGTGAGCAAGACATAATTGCAATCAAAAAGAATCCATTTCCTCCTGGCGTATGCTGTGTTCCTGAGGCTTTTCTTGTGGGGGATCTACTTAGCTTCTTCATGTGGTTTTCCTTGTCACCTTAGCCCATCAAGCTGGGAGACCATCTCAACAGCATTCTGCTAGGCATGTGTGAGGATGTCATCTACGCCCGGGTGTCGGTGCGGACTGTTCTGGATGCCTGCAGTGCCCACATCAGGAATAGCAACTGTGCACCTTCGTTTTCCTATGTAAAGCAGTTGGTAAAGCTGGTTCTGGGAAATATTTCTGGGGTAAGATATAGTTCTCACTTAAAAACATTCATATTTTGAAATTCAGTAATATCAAGTTTTCTTTAAATACATAATAGCAGTTTTTCAAAATTAAGTACAAAAATGGAATTATTTTAAAGTTAATTGTTTACTCCAGATAGTAATTTAAAATTTAGATTGCAGTTAGTTTCCCACATTTTATGAAAGCCATCTTTTTTTTGTAAGTACTTTATTTTAGAAAAGACTAGTGTTTTCACGCTGGGAGTCATCTGTCCTTCCTACTTTCCCCCATGTGATCTTTACTCACAGAGCTCTTAGCAGATCATTGTAATCTTCTTGAGGAAACACGCTGGCATACAAAATGAGTGTCAGAAATACTTAATGTACCTCCTATGTGTAGACCTCTTTCTTGCCCCTCGTTTGTCAGGACCCCGTGTAATTCTCAGCCTTCTCCACATTCTCTGGTGGGAAGGGATCATGGTCTGTTCTTGCCTGGCACATGGGTGCCTCCTTTCTCTCATCCAGAATGTAAAGAACTGAAGAATAAAATCCACATCTAATAATCCCTCCTCTGCTCTTCATCCCTTAAGCTGTTCTTTCCTCTTCTCTCTGGCTGGGACTGTCATTGGTGTTTGGCTTTTTGATCGACATATATACTTGCCCACTTTTACCATGATATGGTCCTTCAGTGTTGTCCGTTCTCTCTCTGGGCCCCAGATTTATGCTGTCACAGTGTTCTTTGTGGCTTCCTCATAATTCCTTGTTCTTAGGAGGGTTTAGTTCCTCCATCTTAACATGGATGCTGCCTGGTGAATGGAATATGTACACATTACACACACTTTGCCATTTGGTGAGGAATGGGCTCAGAGTTCTCCTAAATACAATGTGAGCTGTCTCCTAGTAAACATGGAGATTGTGTGATGGGAAGGCATGTAGGTAATGGGGCTGATGGATGGAATTCTCTCCCTGTGGTTACTTCCATTTTACTTAATTTGTTTGTCTTGGTTCTATACGTTCATTTGAAAAACAAAACTAAAGCCGCTAAAACATGGTGTGATACATAATAGAGACATAGTCAAAAGCTGCGAGTCTCTGATCCCAAGGCCTTGCTGTTCCTTCCCTACTTACGCAGCTGTTATTGCTTCCAGTGGCCATTGTGGTAGCATTTAAGATTAATCAGCTGTGAGTCAGTCACCAGGCCAGCTCCAGTGCCTTGGTTCTTCTAGTCTTACAATATATTTACTAATTTTGACCAACTATAAAATATGATCATTGCTATAGAGCATCTGTGCATGTTACCTCAGACAGTTGTGAAGGTAACTGAGCTTCCTCTGGATACCTCTACCTGTGGCATTGCTATTTCAGAGAATCTGTAATCGTTATGAAAATAAGAATGGGATATACCACTCAAGGTTGTTTTGAAGATCAGATATAACACTCATAATGCACTACACAGTGCCTGGCATATATTAATGGTTCACTAAACGGAGTTGTTATTAACAGCTGCCTCAAAGCAGACATTCACAAGTATGTATAATATTCAATGATTTCTTGTTACCAACAGTGTGGTGTGATCTTGGCTGATGCCAGTTATGCAACTCAAGGACAGCATCATTTCAGAAACACTTCCATCTAAGTCTTCTCTTAAATATGAAATAAAATGTGTTGAACCGTGACTGTGCTACCTGAGACAGAATTTTAATCTACTTATGAAGTTCTGTGATGGAGAAATATTAAAATGTGTATACGTAGATACAAGCGTGGACACATGTCCATGACCACACTGACTACACTTAACTGAGCATCACCATTCTGTTTTCAGTTTTAATGTGTATTTATCCTGGTTTTTGTTGTCTGAATAAACCAGTATCCTCTAACTCTTTATCCTATATAACAAAGAGTATGACCTAGTTTTCGATCATTTTATATAACTATCCATGATTAATTAATGTCACTGAAATTTCGGAGCGGTGAAACATTTTGTTATAAAGAGGAGTTCATGGGACATCAATTTAAATTGTCAGAATATCCAGTTTAAAAATTTAGCAGACTATGTAATTCTGGCAGACTGTATCTAGGAAATTACTTCTACACTAACTTAAACTGTTATGCTCAATTGATAACTGCAACCAGAGGAAGTTTTATAATACAACATTAGCACAGCTTTAAAATTGTATGTCTGCTCTGAGAGATGACAATAGTTATCAAGAAGAGAAGGAATGAATTCCTCAGCACTGCTTTCATTAGGGGCTCATCTTCCCTGAGACCCCAGGTAACACACTCTGCTGCTTTATCATCCTGTGATGGACTGGCCAGTGCTACTCCCCACGAGTCTCATCCAGGCCATAAAATTCCAGTCAGCTGTGGACTCTCTTTGTGCTAAGCCCTCAAGACTGGCTAAGGTGCCATTCTGTGGGTGGCCACTGACAAAAGGGGGAGATTATTTTATCAAACTTGATTTTTGATTACCTGTGTACAGACGGATCAGCTGTCCTGTAGCAGTGAGCAAAAACCTGATCGAAGCCAGGCTATTCGAGACCGGCTGAGAGGCAAAGGATTACCCACAGGTAAGAGCCTGTTGATAGGACCTTTCTAGACCTTAATCTTACTCTCTTGTCTGTGAAAATGTGCTTCCTAGCTTAGAAACCCAATCAGTCCCTACTGTGGCTCATGAGAATATAAGGATGCAGAGTGGAAGCCAGGAGCAGAGAAAAACATCGGGACAGTACTAAATAAACATTACAGTATGTAAAAACCTTAACTGTCAGAGCCATCATTTGTTTACGTTATAAAGGTGTTATTTATTAAAGTCAGGTGAAACCATGACCAGATGAGCACATACATGTATTTGTGAACATTGACACCACTGAACAAGAGCACCGGCAGTACAGCTCTTACTTCACGCTGGTGTTTTCTAGTTCTCTTTTAATGCTAATCACTAAAGTGCTAATCACTAAATTGATTTCACAAGTAAGTATGTCATAATTTGCATTTGTCAAATACTGCCATCGGTTGTAGGATGCTTGCTAAATAAAAACGAATGGTGATTGGTTATTTGTTAGTAACATGTAATATGAATCTATAATTATGTAATGGACTTTTTAAATTAATGGAAATTTTAAATATTTGAGATAAAAGTAGATATAAAATTAGGATTAAAAATTTTTTTGAGACAGGGTTTCTCTGTGTAGCCTTGGCTGTTCTGGAACTCACTCTGTAGACCAGGTTGTCTTTGAACTCACTGAGATCCACCTGCCTCTGCCTCACTAGTGCTGGAATTAAAGGCATTCACCACCACTGTCTGGCAGAAATGAATTTTTTTTAAAGTGCTAAGAATCAGGCTTGGCTTTTATATAAGTTGAATTTTGGTTTTATAGATTATATTTGTTATTTTCTTTTTATTTCTCATCAAGAATTATTGAAAGTCATGATAACAAACACTAGCAAGAATATTTTGTTTGAAATAAAAATGACAAACATATTCAAATAGGACATGTTCTAATGTATGGAGTCTAATAACATCAATTAGAAAATAGCATTTCTAACTTTTTTTCTTTCATTAACCATGTGAAGTTTATTGAAGGGAAAGGGAAGAAGAGAAGGGAGGAGGGGGAGAGAAAGAAGTGGAGAAGGGAGAGCGAGAGGAGAGAGAGAGAGAGAGACAGAGACAGAGAGAGAACATGTGGAGGTGCACACTTAAAAGGGGAAGCTTGCACGTGCATACTGAGTCCTTGTGCAGTCCCGTAATGAGTGACGTAGCTATGGCATGACCACATAACACAGGGTCCTTTGAACTGCCTAAGTATCTGCTTGAATGCAGATACCCTTGTCCCACCATTGTCAGTGGGTGGGGTCAGCATAATACCTGGTTCCAATAATCTCACCTCTTATTATTAAAAAGAGGGGGAGTTAGGCATGGCAAGGGCGTTGAGTTCTCAAGACTGCTTCCTGCTGACACATTGACCATCTTTGAGGAACCTGAGAAAGTTGGGATGCTGCCACGTCCTGGGGTAGCTGGTTGCTTCATCAAAGTCCAGGCTGTATGGAACTCTGTCACCTCTGTAGACCTGGAAAGATATTGGGAGAGTAGAGGACAAGGTCAAGTTTAGAGAAAAACTTTTTTTTCTTAGGTCCTGGTATTTATAAGGGGAAGATTGTGAGATAAGGAAGGGGTTCCTGTGGGGGTCCCAAGATGAGGGAAGGGAGTCCCAGGACCAGGGAAAGGTTGAATAATATCTGGAGTTAATCTGACCTGATTGAGTGGGTCCAATTCGGCTCCCTGGGACTTACAAGAAACCTTTGAGTTTGTGAAAACATAAATTTTAGACACATTAGTAGTATAATCATGTCAGAAATTATTTGGCTGAAAGCATTAACATTTTTAAAACTGGAAGCATATCCTTAGGACAATGAAAAGCACCTTAATTTTGATCTTGCAGTTATTTAACCAGACAACCAGCATATAGCTATCTTATTTAAAAAACAAAAACAAAACAACCTTGTGAGAAACTTTTCTTATAAAACTTCAGAGTTCAGAAGCCTCTTGGACAGGTGTGCCTGTGGGGGAGTAACAGGACAGATGTGCCCATGGGGGTGTAACAGGACAGGTGTTCCCATGGGGGAGTAACAGGACAGGTGTTCCCATGGGGGAGTAACAGGACAGGTGTTCCCATGGGGGAGTAACAGGACAGGTGTTCCCATGGGGGAGTAACAGGACAGGTGTGCCCATGGGGGAGTAACAGGACAGGTGTTCCCATGGGGGAGTAACAGGACAGGTGTGCCCATGGAAGATTCTTTGAGGTGCTCCTAGTTGGTTAAATGGCACTCTTCATGCTTTGTTTTATTTGCTATGAGTAAAGATTATTATTGTTTTTGAAAAAGTATCTTAATTTTCATTTCAAGATAGTAAATTTGCTTTTTATTAGTTTATTTACTGTTTATGTGTGGATAAAAAGTACAAAGTGGGAGGGAAGAGGAGTGGGGGAAAATGTATAACTCAAGAGAAAAAAAGTATAAAGGAAAAAAAAGTACAAGGTCAGGTGTCCAACTTAGTTTTTAGAATTCCCTGATGGCAAGTAAGGTATTTTTAATCCTCTTTTTTTTTTTTTTTTTTGCTAATGTTTCCTTTGCTGTCCTCATGTCCCTCAGGTATGTGGACATACTCTCTGGGAAACAGTCTTGTTTCTCTTTGCACTGCATTAGGATTTAAACTATGATTTCATATGGACATTCATGCAAAGAATCCGTTATGGTCACTGTCCTTCTTAGAGTAGTAATTGAGAATATTTGAGTGTTAGTAGCAAGCCACAGTAACCTCCTTTGAGGACTCATACTGACCACTTAGATGAGACGTTAGATTGGCAAGATTTGCTTTTCTGTCTTCCCACTCCTTTCTGTCCGCCCTACATTTCCTCCATCTCTGCCTGCCCCTTCTCTTTCCTGTGCTGTGTCCAGCCTTCCTGGATTGCCCTCTGTCCTCTGCTGCTGCCAGTTATGTGGCCATGTTACACAGTCAACATTTTTTTATGTGCTACTTGCTGACTTAATAAATATAAAGTAATATATTAATGATTAATTCTTTTAGATGTTTGTGTTCTTCGAAGACCTCCCAGAAATAGTGTGATACATCAAGGGTCTATTCGGGTGGGGGGGGGTTGTGGATCACCCTGCTATGTGTACTTTATGAAATTTTAAAGGCTTTGAAATGTTAATACAGTACATTTTATTACCATCAATATTTCACAGTTTTAATGTTTCTGACACTAATTGTTTTATGGTATTCCAGGGGTAGCAACTAGAGACCCAACTGAATCTAAATCTACTCTGTAGCATATCCTAACTAGCAGTTTATTTATGTGTTTTTTGTTTGTTTGCTTTTGTTTTTATGCTGCTACTTCTTTTTTTTAAAGGTTTGTTTATTTGTTATATATACAGTGTTCTGTCTGCATGTATCCCTGCAGGCCAGAAGAGGGCACCAGATCTCATTACAGATGGTTGTGAGTCACCATGTGGTTGCTGGGAATTGAACTCAGGACCTCTGGAAGAGCAGCCAGTGCTCTTAACCTCTGAGCCACCTCTCCAGCCCTTTATTTATGTGTTTTTAAATAAGAAATTATGTAAGTTTAGCTTCCTGGACATAAGAAAAATCTGCTGATGATTACGTTCAATTTCTCTTGTAAATATTCAGTGAGTATCTGTTAATGGTATGAGCATGAGAAAGAATTTTATCAAAATGTGAGGCAGCCAAATATAGTAGAACCCTGTTTTCATAATATAGCTTTTTAATGTTTTCATAAAGAAACACATGAGACTCCTGTTATTTCACCAGTTTTAAACCCTGGGTGAGATATGGATAAAAAGAAAAAGTGTCTCAGTTTCTGGGCTTGTACTATTTGACCCTTTTTTTTTACTGTAACAAAGCATTACAAGTTTGAAAGTCAATTTTGATCCCTTTTATTTATGACTTTGATTTTATACTAAACATCACTCAGTGGTATTGCTTACTAGATCTTCAGAATTATGATGTGTGGACTAACAAATCTTTAATAGATACTGAATTTACTCTGTAAAACTTGGGTCAGAATACAATCCCTCATCTCTCTAAAGTGAAGAGAATTTGTAAAGAATTACAATTTGTCACTCAGGTTAAACCAGTTGTTTTTCTGCTTCCATTTTGGAGTAAAAATAGAATCATGCATTTCTTTCAGTTACATTTAAAGTAGAAATTGCAGCCTTGTTTTGGCTGCATATAGTGGAGGATGAGTCCCCTAATGTTCTTGGTCAGTGCTCACACTGTAGCAAGGGTCTTTCAGGAGCCATTTTAAGTTCCTTATTCAGTCTTACAAACCTCAGCAAGTCTGAAGCAGTGAAAGTGTGCTCTAAAGGCCCTGCAAGCCGGAAGCAATCAACAGCTAGTGGTCCATGGCAAACGCTCACTTCAAAGGTCAAGACTGAAGAGCAATTAGCTGTTAAAGAATGGATACTCTTTTAGGATGCTGATGTTCTTTGGGGCATCTTGTTCCCTCTCCCTGCAGCCCTACATTGTGGTGAAACATCCTCTGCAGTATTCACCAGTTAGAAGTGTCTATAGCTGGTGCTACAGTATATTAGGATCCTGACCAATGTGTTCAATAAAGAAAGCAGTAGGACAGGCAGTGCAATACAGAACTGGGTTGAACAAAGCAAGCCAATTTATAGATAATGCCAGTATATGTTGTTTGGTTGCCAATTTAGTACTGCTTACTATTTTGTGTGTGAGTGACTGAGCTGGAAAGGTGTCTTTTGCATCTTCTTCTGAAATATGTCACAAGAGTGAAGTCCTAAACCGGTGGGCTGTCTGCCCCGCTTTGTTACTTAATACTGCAGGTACTGATAGCATGACTTCAATAGGCATACACACAAAAAAAACACAAGCATTTCCTGCCAAGCATCAGGGGAAACCTACACCATCAGATAGGTGGTGATGGCTTCAGAAACTCAGAAGTGTACGTACGGTTCTGTTTCTGTCTTCTGTGTACTTGAGCACATTGTTAAGAACAGCTGGGGACTCAGGAGCTTCCTTTAATAT